CATCCCTCCCCGCTCTGTTGTGTCTCCAACATCTCTGTTTTGCTTCCCCTTGTTTTTTATTTTTATCTTTTCCCCTTTTTTTAAAGACAAAACACACAAGATATCGATTAAAAAAAAAAACTCAGGCATACAAGCTGTGTTTTTTTGTTTTTTTTTGGAAACTTTATTGCCTTAAATGCAGGTTATCAGGCATTACGCATCATCCAGGGAGGCAGAAAGAGGCAGGCAAACATGAAAAATAAGTAAACACAAAAAAACAAAACAATAAATAATCAAAATGTAACAGAAATTGGGTCCAGTCTGTCATACTGTATAGAGTGTATAGCCTATATCTTATCAAGCCTTGATAATAACAACAACAATAATAGTGATACATGGATAGAGTAAAGCAAGGGTCCTAAGCGAGATATTCAATAACTGGGGTCCACCTTCTCAGAAAAACAGGTAGGCCTACTTTCATCTGTAGTTGGGCAGTCATATGTTCCACTGTGTAGACATGTTTTACCTTCTGTAGCCACTGAGTGGTCGTGGGAGGGTCAGACTGTGTTTTTTTTATGCTGTTTGGTGTGTTGTCTAGAGGCCATGAGAGATTCTGACACGTGATATGTCAGTATTTTTATTTTCAGATATGTGACAGAGTTTTCTTTTGTCATTCGTGGTGGTTTGGACCTATTTCGGTTGTGAAACGTTAGCTTGCTGGTTTAAATCACATGTCTGACAGCCTGCAGATATGAAGTATAATGCTACTAGATCTTTTTTTAGATCTATCAACTGGTCATGGTTTGTTGATATGTTTAGTTTGGTTCCAATCCTCATAAAAAAGTGATTTCAACACTCAATCAGAGGTGTTAAAATCACAATTCCCTGAAGTCTCCCAGCTCGCGTCGGCCTCTGATGCCGTAACTTGTCGTACTTTTATTGAGTGGATGCTGCCGTTCTGCGGGTTTATTACGGGGGGGAGGCGGTGGGCCGGGGGGGTGGAGCTCTGTTTTGGAGCTCGGACCTGCTGGTCACAGACATCGGTGTGTTTGCACAGGCCAAATCCCGGAGCTGTGCGTTCCTTTAAGCCCAGGTCTGGGAAAGTTTGTGGAAAGAGCATTGAGGTCCACTGTGGTGGAAACGGCATTGTCTGGCCTGCTGATCCTCACTGTGCTAAACAGATAGAGGGGGATCAATCCCCCGGAGAGGAGGTCAGGGGTGGGATGAGGGGCGTTGGGCAAGGGAGGGGACCATGGGCACAACAGTATGCCCATTATTGTCTCAAACAGAGTAAGTGAGCTTATTGGGGGCCTGATAAGAGATCAGCAGTGTTCCAGTTGTGTCTGGTTCTGCGTGTAACAATAAATACGCTGGCAGGCTTGGATATTGGTTTTATCCTCTTTGGGTTTTTCCAGAACCTCTCTCTTGTTTATAAGTTATTTTTTGATGCGTCTGTTCGTGAACGTTTGATTTCACCCAAGGAATCACTAAACTTGTTCTCTGATGGTTGACAGAGACTGAGAGCGTCCAGTCTATTTCCCAGCATTCCTGTCCCTTATAAAAAGATAACAGTGATTGGGCACTGGAAGTCTCTTGGGCCTGGAGTAGAAAAACAGGATGGGAATTGGCTTTGGGAGAATGCCTCGGTCATTACAGAGCTTTGGCTACAGCTAAGCTAAGACCAAAGTGCGTGGCATGATGAGAATTTATGGGCAACTGCCAAGGTTTCCTGAGAACAAATCTGCTGGCAAGCGGGAGCAAGGATACAGTTCACATTGAGCGGTGTTTATTTGTTTAGGAATGCTTTGTGCTGCGTTGGTGTTGGTGGATGAAGGTAGTGTTCACTTCCTAGCAGCCTATCTTCTCCTTCCTGTTCCATGCGAGCAGGGCGGAAGGAAACGGGGAATTCTGCGCTCCTCGGTTTGGAAGGCGCAGTCCGTGTATAAATACTCTGTTTTCAGGAGGTTGACAGCTATTTTCCAGCATTGTAGCACTACTTAAAACCCTTTGTGCTTCTTCTATTGATAACACATGGTGTTTCAGAGGGAGACACATTTTTGATAAGCAAGTCATACTTTGAAATACTCTGAGGAGTGACTCTGTCTTCTTTAAAAACTGGTTTGGTCTGGTTTGGTTGACTATTGTCTCTGTTCTGTGCACAGGTGGGGAGAAGACAGAGACTTTAACGGGACGCCAAGGAAGTATTGGGTATGTTTTGTTTTTAATTTCTTCTTCCTTTGAATTAACTACATGCTTTAGTGATTACACTTTAATTTACAACACACATTGAACGCATGGCTGCTGTAAAATGTAACTTATACCTCAAATTTTCATGAAAAAAACTGTAAATTTCAACACAAGCTCATGTAAATTATAAAGTAAATTTGGATTCATACTTAACACAGCATCCCCACCTTTTTCGAATTCACATTATGAAAGAAAACTTTGTTTTTAGTTGTTTTCTCTATCATTTGACGAGCTGTGTTCCGCGTCCAGATTGCAGCCAACTCCTGGGGGAAGAACTGGGGAGAGAACGGATACTTCCGCATCGCTCGTGGGGACAATGAATGTGAAATAGAAACATTTGTGATCGGCGTTTGGGGAAGAATCACAATGGAGGACATGCAGAGCCATCATCACCACCACCGCCGCCGTCACATCTAAAGACCCTGCGCATACTCACTGATCCACTGTGGCCTTTCATTTTCTCCCAACTTTGGTTGATTACTCAACGCAGAAGATAATCTCCCCGAGAGTCTCATCACATCTCTTCGCCTACAAAGTTGGCTGGAGTAGCCGCACAATCGACCATAGACACTTCACGCATTACACCTCAAACTCAAGCTAGGCAGCGACCCCCTTTTTATCTACCTTGTCGGACATTTTAACTGAATTACCCACCTCACTTTCCCTCTAAGTCCATTCTATGGCACCAAAAAACATAGGAAACCAAGCTAAAGTTATCTCACTTTGCGTTGCATTCAAGCATCTCAGGTACCTGAAGCTCCAAAGACCAAATTTCCGTGAATCATCACAACGATGTCTGATGGAAGGGTTCATTAAAATGGGTGATGACAGAGGAAGAAGCTCAGTCTGAGCCTTTTATTCTGTAGTCTTCTCCAGCTCCGATTCCATCGACCAGAGGGACCCTTTATTAGTGGGAAAGTTTGGAAACTGGAAATCTGAGAGTCAGATTATCAGACATTAGACCCTTTCAGAGGGACACACCCTGCTGAAGGATGGAACCCGATGATATATTGACATGTAAAGGTGAACGTTTATACGCACCCTCAGCTTAGAAAAGTCACCTGTACAGAGTTTATCATATATTTAATCAAAATCATAGCAGGTGAGACTTAAAGGCAAAGAATTTTAGAGTGTTGTATTAGTATTAAAATACTTAAAATGATTCCTAAGACCATAGAAGTGTTCAAATGTTGGCCCCTTTTCAACATGTCTACACCGAAACAGACACTGTCACAGCATTAGCTTCCAACCAGTCGTTAGATTTTGGCTGCAGGTATAAATACATGACACAAAGGAGTCTCTGCACAAAATGATACATAAAGAAAAAAAAGCCATGCTGCCGGGCCCCGATGTTTTAAACTTATATTCCTGATCCGTTTGGGGGTTGAAAAGACTGTAACGCCCTCATCAAACAGAGCTGACCACTGTAAAAGGAAGTATGTATAGAAGTCTTAATGTACTCTGTTCTGTGTACACTGTTACAATTCGAGCTGAAGATTTTATTTTTTGTCGCAGTTATATTTTAAAGTTATAATTACCATGTGCTTTAGATGTAAGGTGGATAGAAATCTTCATAACATATCTTCCGCTTAAATGTCATTATTTTAACACATTGAGGACCATAAGAGTTGGGATACTGCTGCTAATGTCCAGTCTGTGCCTCCATACTTGTCTTTACGCATTTGTAGTGAGCATGGAAAGCCATTTCTCGCAATTCTTTGAGTCAAAGGGGCTGAAATTGAGCTGTTTTTGTGTGGTTAAAAGACAAGCGCGTTCCTTTATTTTAAGGTGTTCCTCAAACCCCTGTACTGATATTTCTCATATTTTCAAGGTGCTTTCAGATGTTGTTGTTTTAGCCTCACTTGAAAAGGACAGCTCAGTCTGTTATTACCGTTTATCTTAGATCATACCCTGGCCGGCTCGAGTTGTGGCTTCAAAAGCATTTTTAATTCCTCTGCCGTCATGTCTTGTGATCTTTTAGGTCTTTCTAGCATTTCCTTTAGGCATGACAAGGCAAATAGTATCAAATCAAAGAGAAACGTCTGCATGGACAAGCAATGTGCAATGAGGCCAGAGATTACTGTAGCAGCTGCATGTCTCACATGGGATGTTCCAAATCTTTGCTTTTATTTACAACCAAGCGAAGGAAAAAACAAAGTGAGAGCGGTCAGTCAGTGTGAGCTTCAAGGAAAGTTTACAGGGATGAAACGCGTGAGATTGAGCTCCTGGTACAGAAGAGAGGGAAATACAGCTGCCAGCTTTTAGCTTCTCTGCAGCAAAGGAAGTCAGTTTAACACAAAAAAAAAAAAAAAAAAACGGTTTATTGTCTTCTGTGTCAGTCTGGTCTCAAACAGGTAACTGAGTGGTGTGGAAACTGGGATTTAACCAAAGCTGGACACTTTTTTTCACACTTAAGTTAATGTTCATCGGGGTGATTTAGATAATATGTAGCACCATGCAAAACATATTTTATCATTCTTAAGTTGCAAGTCAAGAAGATGCTATTTACACCTGTTTAACTGAAGATTCCCTTGACTTTGAACCAAAAACATGTTCTCCAGGTGTACAACCCAGGAACCCTCTAGAGCTTCAGCAGACATCCACTCAGACGTTGTGTATTTAGTGTAAAATGAACCACTTCATATTCACTCGTGTGTAGGCTTTATTTATGACGAGATGTGTAAATTATATACTTTTATTTTTCTTTGTTGTCATGTGCAATGTGTCATTATCTCTCTCTTGTGCCGTGTGCACTAAACGCAACACCATGTTAGTGTTCACTTACCCAATAAAGTCTCTCTAAAACCAGACTTATGTCACTGGCACCGAGAATATTAGTTTAATGCATTCAAACAAAGACAAATGATCCGGGGGGAGGTTAGGTGCGCATGAATGCACGCCGGGTGAGGGACGGGATGCGGGGCGATCGGAATCGCGGGGTGGGATGAGGACAGTTTTCATAAGCTCCTGCTGTGTCAGCGGCCTTTTCCATCACTGAGAGCATAAACTCTGGCCCCATTCCTCTGGCCGAGGGCTGAAAACGCATCCAAGTGCCAGAAAGGTCACTACAAAATATTTGAGAAGAGATTCATTGATATTTAAGGATTTCCTGAATGTGTTCGAGGTAAATAAAGACATTCACAAAATTAGCGTTCATATTTTAACCCTTTAAAGCCTGATCCAAGAATAAAACAAAACAGAAAATTAGTTTTTTTTGGTTTGAATTCCTTATTTGGCCTTGTAACAAAATATGTGAAAAGAAAAACAGAAATACATTTTTGATATTAATAATTTATTACTACGCGATAAGTCAAGATTATTTTTTGTGTAGTCTTCTGCCCCCTGTTATCAGGTATATCTGATTGTGTACAATAGGATTTTGAGCAAAGTTTTTACCATTAAATTATGCAAAAGGTGTCAGACGCAAAACATTTCAGAAACTGTATGTATCAAATACGATACATTTAGCATTATAGGGTTAAAAAAAACTTTTGATAAAAAAAAACTACATTTCAAATTCGGCTTTCTCCAGTCTTAGGACAGAGTTGTATTTTGTTTCCAGCCTTCATTCTGCTGAGGGTTCAGAGTGTTTGTGTTTGCTCAGGTATTCACAACACACACACACACGTCTGTGAGAGAAAATCTGTCATGAAAGTGAAAGAAAACCGGGTCTGCTATTAGCCGTCTGGGGGGGAGTCTTCACTTTATCAGCGGGGTCTGTCAGTGAAGATTACCAGGTGTTGCCGACGGCAACAAAAATGTGGATGCAGACCTGCTGTTTTGAACGCAGACACTTGAAGGAAGGGGGGGAAAGGGGAAGGAAGAGGGGGGGGCATTACCTTGCATTCCTGCCTTGAATCAGTCACCTATAAAACTACTTATTAAGCTAAGATAGCCTTCCCTCTGCTCAAATACCAGGCTCTAATGTGGAAATTTGCAACACATTTGATAAGAAAATGCTCATTTGATTGGCCACACTGAATTTAAAACATGTCTGTGTCTCTCACATGTCTGCGTCCATCCACCATCTCTGTCTTCAAAACCCATCTATCAATAGGTCTTCAAATTAGCATTGAACTTATCAAATAAATATTTTAGAATTTGTCCCTTTACAGGAGCCGCATGGGCCAAATATGGAAACTTTGACCAAGAGATCGGTCCACCGAGTGTTTACATTTCTATCATTGTTTCTGTGCCCAAGAATTCATGACCTCAGCAGTTGTCCTCTCCTCCCAGCTGATGGGCAGCTGGACCAATACCACGAAAAAAAAAACAAAGGCCGAGGCGGTAGAACAATTAGTGGCAGCGAAACAATCAGTGGCTGAACCCACCCTGGACTCCCCCGGTCCGGGAACACGGTGTTATTCTCAGGTTCTGCTCAGCTATACAGGGAAACACAAACATCTGTCACCCGGGTTTCTGTTTCGCTGTCAGTCAGACTTCTGGCAATATTGCTCTCAAACATCCAGCCGGTAGCCAGAAATGAAGCATTTTTCCAAAAACAATCCAACCAAGATTGTACATTGTGTTACTACTTAAAGGAAATCCTCGAAGAAATTCTGAGCAAATCCAAATAGCTTGGAGGCGGCTTTGAGAAAAGCATAGCTTTGAAGTATCGCCCGCTGTCTTTTTTAACTCATATTTCTACATTATGGACCTTCCTGCAGCACGTAGCATGAACGCTTCCTGAGGGGAAACACTGTTAGTTTCATTTTTTATCTCTGTTGCTTTATTTCCCACAATACAAAGAGCTGAAGGTTTGTAGGTGTAGATAACTCATAAATAAAACATGTTTTTCTCATCAATGTTCCTGTTATCATCATGTTCAGTCCCTGTTGTAAGTTTGAAAACATTTACAATCTTCATTCAAATCTTCATGAGGGTCCTTTTTGTCTTTCTTTCTGTGGTGAGATGTTTTAGTGCTGCCATCTCCTGGTGTATTTCAGCACACAGGCAGAAAAATAAACACAAGCGCCGACAAAAAACTTTATTGAGTTCTCCCAATTAAAGATTTAGAAGAATATAATAAATTAAATTAAATTAAGCCAATTTGCCAAACAAACATAGGCTACATGATTAAAATGATTGTTTTCTCTTCCTTGATAACATCATGATCTATTCAAGAAAAAAAATTCTAAATCTGACTGACTTTTAAAAAACATGAAGCAGGCCATCAAAGAGCTCTGGTGTCTGCAGATGACATCATCTCCTCAGTAGATCAGTCAAACTGCTTTGATGCCAACTGCTTTTCTTCCGTCCTAATTAAAAGTTTCATGTGTCGTTTGTGGGCCGTCTGTCTCCCTCTAGCGTGGGCCCGTTCCCCTTCTGCGTTCACACATTCTGTAGGCACATATGTAGAAAATACCTGCAACGGACGGAAAATAAAAGGTTAAATTAACTGGAATCTCACCTTTCCTGTGGGCACACTTCAACGTTTCGGCATTTCTCACCTGCAAAGAAGGTCATGAGCATGGCCACCCAGCCCAGTATGTAGGACCAGGAGAAGCGCCAATCCCCAAAGCGCCTTCCCAGGAAGTTAACAGTCACTCCAGTGTAGATCGCCATACCCAGAAAAACAAAGAAAGCTGAAAAGGAGACGAGGGGACACATGTTAGACCACCCCGGAAACCATTGAAAATCACGTTTGATGTGTAAGGTTTTGTGTTATATTCTTCCTTTCATTATGATTTCTTATTTCTTTAAATTGAATGCTTCTACTTTAACTATTGGATATGATTAATAATACATCTTTACTCTCACTGGAGGAGAAAAAAATTAATCCTCCATCTTTACTATTTACTGGTGACATATGAATTCAACATTACAACACTGAAGTGTCCCCTAAAGTGTCCCCTGGTGTGTTCCTGTTTGTATGTGGAGAAAGTCGTGAGATGGTTAAAAAAGAAAAGCTCACTGGAGACAAAGAACATGATTCCTGCTGCAAAGGAGCGGTTGAACCTTTCAAAGGAGGAGAAGTGTGAGAAGGACATTATGCCGGCGATGATGCCTGCAAAGCACGACATCCCGGAGAGGATCATGAAGGCCCTGGTGGCGTTCCAGTAGGCTGCAAGACAACAGGCAGAAATCAGTTAATCACATTTTTTAAACGTATTTATGCTTCAGATGCAAAGCACTGGCATTCGTGTGGGATTTTCACCTTTCAAGTCCAAACATTTCCCTTGCACTCTTTTATATTTAACCCCTTTAAAGCCCAATCCAAGAAAAAAATAGTGAGAATTTTTGTTTTTGAAGTCTTTATTTGACCCTTCACAAAATATATGAGAAAAAACAGAAATTATTTTTGAATATTCATCATTTATTACCTTCTGCTAAGTCAAAATGATAGTAATAATAGTCTTCTGCCCACTCTTATCAGCTATATCTGGTTGTGTACAACAAGATTTTGAGCATTTTTTTTTACCATGAAATGATGCAAAAGGTCTCAGACGCAAAATTTTTCAGAAATTGTTTGTATCAAATATGATACATACGGCATTATAGGGTTAAAGGTATATTTAGAGCTTTCAACTTCACAAGTTAACTCATCGATCACCTCCGACTTACAGCAGAATCTGAAGCTGCTCGTATGAATGTAGTCGAATCACAATTTTTTTAAAATTACATTTAAAAAAAAAGAAAAAACCAAGCAACAGAAAAAGTTTATGGGATCTCACCTATGCTGTCGGTTTGCATGTAGCACTTGTTGGCCATGCAGTACCTCCAGAGGCCCTGGTGGGCGTAGTTCCCCGACAGGCGGTACTGCATCCAGTAATCGGTGGCGGTGGACACCACCAGCAGGATGTTGCCCACGATGGCGCAGAAAAGGCCCCCTCCCATGAAGCTGTACATCTTGAGCTGATATAAAGGGGCAGCTTCAGACCAACTGTGGAACAATTTAGACACGTGACAGACATCAGAAATCACTTAAACAAACACACTTCCCGACTTAAATGCTCTGGATTTCCTTATCAAGACAACATTTAGACCATCTAGACGATATTGTATGTGCTCACATGTTGCTGGAAAATGGTAAAGCAGCATAAACTGAATTTTTTACTACATTTCAGAATAACTAATCAAAGTCAATCCCATACAAATGAAAGAGAAAATATAATATACAGTGTCAAAACTAAAAGATTTTGCACATATATGAATCTTTTACAAGCTAATTCAAAGCTTAGATTTCAAAGAGTTACCTCCTCTTAACTCTGGACATGATTCAAAGATCAGCACATCTAAAGAAAAACGTGTTGAAGTGTTTTTTCTTTTAAATATGCTGTCGTTTGTTGAAGTCCCTGCTCCAGATCCAAATCTTCCCGTCACAGCGGAGCTCGTTTAAATCAGCTCTGAGTTAGTTTCTGACTCTGCCGCTCTGCCTCCATCACAGCCGGGAAAAGACCCCCGAAAAAACCCACCCAGACAGAGACTCATCCCCTTACCTTGTTTCTGGAAATGCACGGACTCTTCTGTCCACCCTCGGGAGGAAAAGGTAGAAACGGGTGGATGGAAAACAGAAAAGGACTGTCGCTGGCTCGGGGCGGGAGAGAGAAAGAGAGAAAGAGAGAAAGAGAGTCACAGACAACACTACAACCGAAAAGTCACCCCCTCGTCTTTTCTGTCGACCGAAGCAGAATCTTTTGCTGTCATCTGTGTCCCTGTGTGGTCTGCACTTGAATAAGACCCTACAGTGCATGTGACCCTGTACATTGGAGCGCGTGTGTGTGTGTGTGTGTGTGTGTGTGTGCGTCTGTGTGTGTGTGTGTGTGTGCTTGTATGGGGTTATTGGGGGCCCAGGGAAGGGGTGGTGGTCCATGTTTCTTTTGGGTTTTTTTTTGTTTGTTTGTAAATGGTGTACTCTAGAACTGGGGATGTGCATAGGTATGCAGGACTGTGTGTGTCAATGCAACATGCTGAAACAGACACTTCTCTTTCAGCGCGGGCCCGCGGGGGCGTCGCATATGGAGGGGGGGTCTCCACAGTATGGATACAATACCCGCATTCGTCTGAAACAGGACTGACTCCGCTCAAATCTAAATATCAAAATTCAAACGCACACACTGATTAGAGGGTTTTTTTTCTGCATCCGAGAGGTCATAAGGTCAAAGAAATATTAACTGAGAAAAGAAATGTTACATATGTGTCTCTATCTTTGTGAAGACACTAATAAGAAAAAAAATCCTCCGGTCCGTCGTTTTAATCTTAAACACCCCAAAAAAAAGAACCCATCCATCCATCCATCCATCCATCCATTCTCCTCCGCTTATCCGGGGTCGGGTCGCGGGGGCAGCAGCCGGAGCAGGGAAATCCAGACTTCCCTCTCCCCGGCCACTTCGGCCAGCTCCTCCGGGGGGATCCCGAGGCGTTCCCAGGCCAGCCGGGACACATAGTCCCTCCAGCGGGTCCTGGGTCTTCCTCTGGGCCTTCTCCCGGTGGGACGAGCCCGGAACACCTCCCCAGGGAGGCGACCAGGAGGCATCCTGAACAGATGCCCGAGCCACCTCAACTGGCTCCTCTCCACGTGGAGGAGCAGCGGCTCTACTCCGAGCCCCTCCCGGATGGCCGAGCTTCTCACCCTATCTCTAAGGGAGAGCCCCGCCACCCTGCGGAGGAAACTCATTTCGGCCGCTTGTATCTGCGATCTCGTTCTTTCGGTCACTACCCAAAGCTCGTGACCATAGACGAGGGTGGGAACGTAGATCGACCGATAAATTGAGAGCTTCGCCTTTAGGCTCAGCTCTCTCTTCATCACGACAGACCGGTACAGCGCCCGCATTACTGCAGACGCCGCACCGATCCGCCTATCGATCTCACGCTCCCTACCCCCATTCGCAAACAAGACCCCGAGATACTTGAACTCCTCCACTTGGGGAAGGACGTCCGCTCCGACCCGGAGAAGGCACTCTACCCTTTTCCGGTGAGAGACCATGGTCTCGGACTTGGAGGCACTGATCCTCATCCCAGCCGCTTCGCACTCGGCTGCAAACCGCTCCAGTGAGAGCTGTAGGTCCCGACTTGATGGAGCCAACAGGACCACATCATCTGCAAAAAGCAGAGATGCGACCCTAAGGCCACCAAGACTGACACCCTCAACACCTCGGCTGCGCCTAGAAATCCTGTCCATAAAAGTTATGAACAGGACCGGAGACATAGGGCAACCTTGGCGGAGTCCAACTCCCACCGGAAACGAGTCCGACTTACTACCGGCAATGCGAACCAGACTCTGACTCCGGTCGTACAGGGACCTAACAGCCCGTAACAAGGGGCCAGGTACCCCATACTCCCGGAGCACCCCCCACAGGATACCCCGAGGGACACGGTCGAACGCCTTCTCCAAGTCCACAAAACACATGTGGACTGGTTGAGCGAACTCCCATGCACCCTCTAGGACCCCGCTGAGGGTATAGAGCTGGTCCAGCGTTCCACGGCCAGGACGAAAACCACCCTGCTCCTCCTCGATCCGAGGCTCGACTATCCGACGGACCCTCCTCTCCAGAACCGCTGAATAGACCTTCCCAGGGAGGCTTAAGAGTGTGATCCCCCTATAGTTGGAACACACCCTTCGGTCCCCCTTTTTGAATAGGGGGACCACCACCCCAGTCTGCCAATCCAGCGGGACTGCCCCTGATGTCCACGCGATGTTGCAGAGTCGCGTTAGCCAACACAGCCCCACAACATCCAAAGCCTTAAGGAACTCCGGCCGGATCTCATCCACCCCCGGGGCCTTGCCACCGCGGAGCTTTTTGACTGCCTCGGTGACTTCAGCCCCGGAGATTAGAGATCCTAACTCCGGATCCCCAGGCTCTGCCCCTCCAACGGAGGACGCGCCAGTGGGATTGAGGAGGTCCTCGAAGTACTCCGCCCACCGACCCACAACGTCACGAGTTGAGGTCAACAGCACACCATCCCCACTGTAAACAGTGTTGGTGGGGCACTGCTTCCCCCCCCTGAGACGCCGGATGGTGGACCAGAATCGCCTCGAGGCCGTACGGAAGTCTTTTTCCATGGCCTCCCCAAACTCCTCCCACGCCCGGGTTTTTGCCTCGGCGACCACCCGAGCCGCACGTCGCTTGGACTGCCGGTACCCATCGGCTGCCTCCGGAGTCCCACAGGCCAAAAAGGCCCGATAGGACTCCTTCTTCAGCCTGACGGCATCCCTCACCGCCGGTGTCCACCAGCGGGTTCGAGGGTTGCCGCCACGACAGGCACCGACAGCCCTGCGACCGCAGCTCTGGGAGGCCGCGTCATTGATGGAGGCGCGGAACACGGCCCACTCGGACTCAATGTCCCCCGCCTCCCCCGGAACGTGTTCGAAGCTCTCCCGGAGGTGGGAGTTAAAGCTCCGCCTAACAGGGGACTCCGCCAGGCGCTCCCAGCAGACCCTCACAACACGTTTGGGCCTCCCGGGTCTCACCGGCATCCTCCCCCGCCATCGGAGCCAACTCACCACCAGGTAGTGGTCGGTGGAAAGCTCCGCCCCCCTCTTGACCCGAGTGTCCAAAACATGCGGCCGCAGATCAGCTGAAACGACAACAAAGTCGATCATTGAACTGCGGCCTAGAGTGTCCTGGTGCCAGGTGCACATATGGACACTCTTATGTTTGAACATGGTGTTCGTTATGGACAATCCGTGCCGAGCACAGAAGTCCAAAAACAGAACACCGCTCGGGTTCAAGCTGGGGGGGCCATTCCTCCCAACCACGCCCCTCCAGGTCCCACTGTCGTTGCCCACGTGAGCGTTGAAGTCCCCCAGCAAAACGAGGGAGTCCCCAGGGGGGGCACCCTCCAGTACCCCCTCTAAGGACTCCAAAAAGGGTGGGTACTCTGTGCTGCCGCTAGGCGCATAGGCACAAACGACAGTCAGGACCCGTCCCCCCACCCGAAGGCGAAGGGATGCTACCCTCTCGCTCACTGGGGTAAACCCCAACGTACAGGCACCGAGATGGGGGGCAATGAGTATGCCCACTCCTGCTCGGCGCCTCTCACCGGGGGCAACTCCAGAGTAGCAAAGCGTCCAACCCCTCTCAAGAAGGCTGGTTCCAGAGCCAGAGCTGTGTGTCGAGGCGAGACCGACGATGTCCAGCCGGAATCTCTCCGCCTCGCACACTAACTCAGGCTCCTTCCCCACCAGAGAGGTGACGTTCCACGTCCCTAGAGCCAGCTTCTGCAGCCGGGGATCAGTCCGCCAAGATCCCCGACTCCGGCCGCCGCCCAGGGCACAGCGCACCCGACCCCTATGGCCCCTCCCACGGGTGGTGGGCCCGTGCGAAGGGGGACCCATGTCTCCTCTTCGGGCTGGGCCCGGCCGGGCCCCATGGGTGAAGGCCCGGCCACCAGGCGCTCGCCATGGTGCCCCACCCCTGGGCCTGGCTCCAGGGGGGGGGCCCCGGTAGCCCGCGCCCGGGCGAGGGTACACGAAGTCCATTTTCCTTTTTCATCATAAGGGGATAAGCGGAGGAGAATGGATGGATGGATGGATCATAAGGGGTCTTCTGGGCTGCGCTTCGTCTGATCCCTCACCTAGGACCTGTTTGCCTTGGGTGACCCTACCAGGGGCTTGAAGCCCCGGACAACATAGCTCCTAGGATCACTGGGACACTCAAACCCCTCCACCACGATAAGGTGGCAGCCCAGGGAGGGGAACCCATCCTATCTTAAATTCAATCTTAAGTAAAAACCTCGTATTCTTTAACATTTTAAAGAAGAGCAAGTTTGTTTTCACACTGCAAAGGTGTCCTTTGTGTGGATAATTTACCCAAATAGACGTGAGAAGATAAATATGGGTTCGACCGGAGTTTGTATGTGTTGACTATCCATGTAGGAGTGTGTAGAACTTCATTTATAAATCTGCCTGTGTTTATCTGTGGAAAATAAACAAAAAAGTAGAACAAAACTGAATTTTTCATGTATATTCGGTGGTCGCAGAAGCAGCCGAGAGTGATGTAATACTTCTCACATGAACAATTGTGACTCTGGAATGTGAAAAGGGCTTAAAAACAAAAACAGATTCAGTTGATCATTAGAAAACAGGATGCAAAAGACAAGTATTTCCTTTTGCTGGTCCACTGACATGCATCCATTTATATCATTATTATTATTATATTAATTATTCATGTCTTCTGAAGGCAGCTGTAATAAAAAAAAGGTGACTAAACTGACAAAAACAGGATCTGTTCACATTATCATAGGTTTTTAGGTAGTTGTTTTTCATTTATTTTCTTTTTCCTGAAATTAATTTTACATTTTGATGCTGACCTTAGGAGTTTAGGAGAGATGTCAACGTGAAACATAAAATAAGGTGGGAAAGAAGGAAAATTAAATGGATTTTTGGTTGGCGGTAAACATAGAATAATGACATAATCCATGCAAGAGAGGGGAAACTCTTACAAGAGAGAAGCAAAATCCCTTATAAATGACCATTTACAGAGATAAAAAAGCTTTTAATAATAATAAACACAAAAGAAACCCTTAATATAACATGTTTTAATTAGGCTAACTAGATAACTCTAGATTTGTTTAGATCATTTTGATAACCACGTTCCTTCTGTCGTTGAGTGTTTGTTTTTTATATTGGTTAAGTTATAGAAAAGTTACCATCTCAATATTTAGAGCTAAAAGTTTATGCTGACACTATTGTGTTCCAAAAGATATAAAACTATCTGTCGTGCGTATAAAGCTTTGAATTGTTTAGGAAATATAATATATAATATTTATAATATATATAATATAAATATATCATACATGTAAAATATATTTACTGGTTATTTTTGCACTATGAAGCTTTCAGGGATAATCGCAAACAGGCGTGCACTTTATTTAGCTGAAAGAGGAAATATGTCAATCCTATTTCAGTATTTATGCACTATTTGTTATTAAAAAATCTTTAAAAGACATGTGAATCTGCTCAAAGCTTTGTTTTAAATCAGAAATCAGTCCTTTTTTTTGCTTTCCTCCAATTAAAGTTTGTACATTAATTGATTTCAGAATTTGTGTTCTTAATATGCACACTTACTTTATGAACTATACTTTCAAATGGTATTTTCATTCAAACACTGCGGGGGACTTCCAGGGCTTTTTATCAGGAAAAAATCTTGACCTTTTATGACCCGGAAGCTGACGCCAGACTTGAGCTTTTCCATCGGTGGAGTAAAGATGGCTGACCAAGGCGCCGCAGATCCTGGTAACAACAACAATAATACGCCTGAAACCTCAGAGGGAACTATTATTAAGGTCACAGTGAAAACCCCTAAAGACAAGGAAGAAATCGCCATCGCTGAAGATGCCTCTGTTACTCAGGTTTGTCGATCCGGCAGCTGGCGCGTGCTGTTCATCGCCGTGCTCCAACGTCATGCCCCTACCCATAACTTCAGCTAGGAAGCTAGCTCGTTAGCTCCTTTAGCATTTGTCGCGACTCTTACCGGCTAACTGGGAGTGTGTGGAATAAAGGGGGTTCTTTTTATTGAATAGATATCACTAAGGTTAACAATTAATTGGCGACGTCAACTCTGTTGACATAAAAAAGAGATACGGCCGCACAAATTTTTGAAACGGCTAACCGGTTAGCTAGGCAGCGGCTAGCTAGCGAGCTAACTCAGCCTTTGCATCGAGAGAGCGTTAGCAACTTATGTAGCCAAACAAGTGTCAGCTGATGGATACGTCCTCGCTGTGGTCATTGTAACGCGAAAAAAGTAAGGTGACAAAACCGAGGCAGTGGTTTTGGACATATGATTTAAATTTCTCGGTTTCATTTTCTGTTGCTTAATAGCAGCTTCTTGAAAAGTCAACGCTTGGTGCCACTCTAGAACATTCTCACTGCTGTTCCTGAGTCATTCTGCTTTCTTGGGATTTTCTAGTATTCCCAGGGCTGCTGTTGGCTTGGCGACGTGTTACAATGAAATCATAACGCAATCGATGCAACAAAACCGAGTGTATTTAGCTTCTTCTGGCTGGTTATAGGATGATTTTTAATGATTGGCTGCGTTTTAAGGTTTTCTAATGAATACGTTTCTAGGTATTCTACCCATACAATTTTATTTTCTCTATAGCTTTACAGAGGTTACGTTTAATAACAATATGTATTTGCTGAGGTCAAGACTTAAAATATTCATGTTTGAATATACTTAAAGCTGGCTATTATCAATTTATTTATTGATTATTACAGCCTATAATATAATTTATTGATAATATTTATTTTAGGAGGTACACACACATTTTATGATTGTACAATATGAAAATTTTGCATTATTATCATATTAATTTCATATATGTATTAGATCCTGGTCAGGAAGGTGCGTCAATGCTAAGAAATATTTATCTATCTAAATTCATAAATGATTAACCCCTCTACATCCTATACTGCTACACCATAGACACCATAAAGCAATATGATGTGATTGTTTTATATTAGATTAGCTTCTGTTTTAGGATTGAGTTACCATATCAAGGCTAAAAACTGTCTGTTGGAACAGAGTTAAAGATTAGTGGTAATTTGATTTAGTAAAAATCCCTGCTAATAGCATAGGTAAAACTAACTTTGTGGCAATGGAATCTCTTCTTGTTTTAGAAAACAAAGCTGTAATAAAACCTTTTCTTAAAAAAAGTTTGAAAGTATTCCAAGTAATCTGTTGAAATATGTATTTCATAACTAAGTTTTCATCATAGCAGAAATATATTGTATTAATTTATTTTTTCCGTCTTTCTACAAAAAAACACAAATTTCTGCGTATTTAGATGAGTACAGATAGAAATAGCTATAGATCAAGACTGAAATTGATATGGTTAAAATATCCTGGATATGTTAGCTTGATGTTTTTACATCATTGATAAGAATATTGTTTCACTCCACAAAAAAAATGCTTGTATTTTTGTTTCTGTATTCAGTTTCCCTGTTTTTGTCTATTTTTTTTTCCTTAGTTGTTGTCATATCTCTTTTGCAGCTCCTAATAATGATGAAGTTGTCTTGTATTTACGTGGTTTTTAATTCTCAGTGGGATGAGCTCTTTTTACCACTTTCTAATGTCTAATTGTTACCATTTTCTATCACACAGTTCAAAGAAGAGATTTCGAGGCGGTTCAAAGCCAAACAGGACCAGTTGGTTCTGATTTTTGCCGGGAAGATCTTGAAAGATGGCGACAGTCTCAGCCAGCACGGCATCAAAGATGGCCTTACAGTTCACTTAGTTATAAAGACAGCACACAAGTAAGAATACCTTTTACCTTTTTTACATCCTCTCCAACAAAAGTGGTTCTAGTACTGGTGCCAGAATCTATCCTGAATTGGATTTAACCAAGAACTGGTTCAGTTTTCTGTAGTGATGTCTTTACAGAACAACAGCTTGCTGTCTCCCTTATTTTCACAGCAAATCACTGTCTCATTGTGGCCAGTCTAGCTTTGAAATTAAGATTTTAAACAATAGTGTCTGTTTGTGTACTCACTGTAACTCTGATTAAAGTTTCCACATGCTAATTTATTAGCAGTGATGTTAATACAATGTTTGAAGGAGAATATTTGATCATCAGCTCATATTTATTGATACCACTGACAGTGTTTCTCTGGCCACAAACCCAATTCGCTGCAAACGGCGATTGTGAATGCACCTCTGTTGGGTAACCATGGCCATGTTAAACATTAAGCCGCAGAACGGTGGAGCAACCCTGACCTCATGGTGTTCCACAGCTACTTGGACTTCACATCCAGGTCTAAACTCGGGTTTTGATTCGTCTCTTGAGTAAAGCAGACTACGTTGTACACTGGCTCTGGATTTTTAGACATGGCAGGGGACCCACGGTCCCCCGCCTAAGCAGCAGAGTTGGTGCCCATGATGGCTTTTTTTTCTTTTAAAAAAATAGTTTGTTCCAAAGTCAGAATTTGATTTAGGTACAACATGTTTTCCGCTCCAGCCTTTGTCAGAACCAGAATCAGAATAAGGTTTATTGCCAAGTAGGTTTTTAGACTTACAAGGAATTTGCCTTGGTGTTTGGTGCACAACACAACACTTCTATGAGAAGCAAGAAATAAAATGTAGAAATAAAAATATACGACAGAAATGATAAAACTGAAAATTACCATCTTTAAAAATATAGATCCGAATGTACAAATGAACAATTGAAATGTGCAATGTTGATGTGCAACGACAGACCAGAAAATGCTGAACGTAGCATTGGGTAAATTTGTGAGGTAGAGGGGGGTGGGAGAAGAATAGGTGGGGGTCGCTGGCCTTGTTGATGATAAACCGTCTTTATGGCATGATGTTTTGGTCCTGATGGTCCTCAACCTTCTGCCAGAGGGGAGAGTTTCAAAAAGTTTGTGACCAGGGTGAGAAGGATCAGACATGAGACAGAACCAGGACTGGGACCACTGTTCTGAAAACTGAAGTTGCTGCTTTTCCTAATGGCTGCACGTACGTTTCCGTAGGTCAGGAGATGGCGGTAGCACCTCGGCCTCAGCCTCTAGCTCAGCCTCCACTCAGGCAGGCAACTCTTCTGCCTCGAGTCCGGGCACAAACCCCGCCCCCGCCCCCACAACGGGCTCCACTGGCTCCGCCCCGCCGCCCACCCAGACCCCCAACATTCTGAGTAAGCCCGCCTGTGTTGAACTTCGTCTCGCTTCCTAAAAGCTCTCAGATTTGTGTTTACGTTCGGTGTTTATTGAGCTGGTTTCCTTCTGGCCTCCCTCAGCTGGATTCGGTGACCTGTCCAATCTGGCTGGAATGGGCATGGGCTCGGCCAACTTCATGGAGCTGCAGCAGCAGATGCAGAGGCAGCTCATGTCCAACCCGGAGATGCTCTCCCAGATCATGGAGAACCCCCTGGTGCAGAACATGATGTCCAACCCCGACCTGATGAGGCAGATGATCATGGCCAACCCTCAGATGCAGCAGCTGATGGAACGCAACCCGGAGATCTCCCACATGCTCAACAACCCCGAGCTCATGCGACAGGTGAAAGAAACTCAGAAAGGGCTCAAAAGGCATTCCCACTTTGAACCAGCCTGCCTTTCTTTTTTTCGTTGGCTTTGTCAGGGGTTTGACTGCCTTTAGAACAAGCCTTAACAGACACACTTCCCCTCCACTTTTATCTCGCCTCCCAGACCATGGAGCTGGCCAGGAACCCAGCCATGATGCAGGAAATGATGCGGAACCAGGACCGGGCTCTGAGCAACTTGGAGAGCATCCCAGGAGGTTACAATGCCTTGAGGAGGATGTATACAGACATCCAGGAACCCATGTTCAGCGCTGCCAGGGAACAGGTATCTGTGAGAGGTGTTTACATATCAAATCCGCCGGCGTCCGCCGGTCCCCGTCGGGGTTTGTTTTCTCATCAGCTGTCTGACCTTTTTGTTGTGGCGTAATTTGGCAGTTTTCCACCCGTAACTAAACGCGACCTTTTCTGTGTGTTTCCAAATTTGTTTAATAGTTTGGGAGCAACCCATTCTCGGCCCTCGGAGGAAACTCAGAGTCTGGTGTCCAGCCGTCACGGACAGAGAACAGAGAGCCCCTGCCCAACCCCTGGGGGCCTCCAAATTCTTCGAACCCCTCTGAGAGTGGGGGGGGGACCACAGGGGGCCCCAGCACCACGGGGACCACCAACCCCACTGTGTCCAACCCTCTTGGAATCAATCCGGGCAATCTGGGAAATGGTCGGTTATAGTGCGCTTTTGTGTATTTGCACACATCTGACAGTTCTTCTCATCTAACTTGTGCGCATGTTTGTTGTTGTAGGCATGTTCAACAGTCCGGGAATGCAGAGTCTACTCCAACAGATCTCCGAAAACCCTCAGCTGATGCAGAACATGTTGTCTGCTCCTTACATGCGCAGCATGATGCAGTCACTGTCTCAAAACCCGGAGTTAGCCTCCCAGGTAAGGAACAGGAACAGAGCGTCCCAAAATGCGTCCAAAGCGCCCTTTCAACTTACTAATTCTTTAGTTTTAGCAGCTTAACATTTTTAAATCGGAAAGAAAAAGCTGATTTGATTCAAGTCCAGTGTTGGTGTTTTAAAAAGAATGGTCTGGTGTGGAATCACTAATGAGGCTGTTCTTTCTTTCTTTGTTCGTCTTTGGATCAGGTTTTGATGAATAATCCGTTGTTTGCTGGAAACCCACAGCTGCAGGAACAGTTCAGAGCTCAGCTGCCTGTCTTCCTGCAGCAGGTACCACAGTTTCAGCCCGTTTGCTGGTTCTTGATTTCTCTCTATTTAGAAAAAAAACAACAAAAAAACTAACAAAGAATGATTGTGATTGGTCCAAGTCATAAATGTGCTTTTAAAAGTCTTAATCAGAGTGTTGTGAAACAGCACCAGGGAAACGCCCAATTTTACACAATGCTTGTTGTTTCTCCAGTTTTAAATCTTCAAATGGTTGCTTTTGTTCAAAAGCAGCTCCTGAAACTAGCTGGTGTGGTTATTTTGATTTAAAAAGTTTCTGCCTGGCTTTTGCTAGTCCAGCAGTTAATTACTGCTTTTATATTATGAATAGACACCAGTGTATTAAGTGTCTTCAGCCAGAGGCTTCTGCAGCCTTACAGCTATTTGTGTTTGTGGTGGTGGCGTCATGCCATGCCTCCCCATGACTTTATGTTCCACTTCTATTTATTTATTCGTTCACTTACTTGGAATCATCAGTCATTCATCTCTCTGGAACAGCGTAATATCCCTTTGGGGATTAATAATGCATTAAGTTATTCCTCTCTTCCAATCTGTTTCCACAGAGGTGTTTGTGCTCCATAAACCATCTGTGAAGCTCCACAGTGCATATTGGATTCTTTTCTTTGAAGAGTTTCCTGCAAACAAGATTACAGAAGAGCACATTTTTTTGGCTTTATTTTAAACTGACTAAATCTGCGGAGTTTAAACATAATTTTTCAAACGTATAATCCTGATGATGTCCCAGTTTTAGTTCTCAAAATTTAAGAATCAATATTTCTTCCAGATCTAGTTGATCTAGTGAAGCCGACCTTTCATTGAGTTTTGGCACTTTCAGTTCAGTTTCATGGCCTCATCCGTTAGGAGGTGTCATTCTCATGGAAGCAGACTGTTAAATTAGGTTATTTATATTTTCTACAAGTTCAGCTTGCTGGAGATGACAAGTATATATCGTTTCCCTATAAATGGTGCTGCTACGTGGTTGTTAGACTGGGCGTCTGTTCAGGACTCCAGTGGAGTCCGCGTGACACGTGTCACCATCAGATGGATGAAAGTGGACACGATCATCTGTGACTGTGACAGACTGATCTCCAGCGCCATGTTTCCCTCCCTCTGAGCCCTCTGGATGGGGACATAATGATGGGAGAAACCTGGCCTCTGTATTTTTACTCTCTTCGTTCTTTATAACTGCTTCAAATTTCCAAATTTAAAATTTTCTCTTCCTTTTTTTTTTACACTGTCATCTTTGTGTGACATCATTTACATTATTTGTCTCTGAAAAAGTCACTCCATGAGGGGTCAGAGCATTTATAAAGAATAAAATGTTGTTTTTTTAGTCGTTTTCTTTTGAGTTGATACAGAAATGAGCCAATTTAGTTTTTTGTTCAGTTCATGAGCTCCCCTAGCATTGTTCTATTATCTTTTTAGTGTTTTTTAATTGTATTTAGGAGGATGAATGTACATGAAACATACTCCAGTTTGTGACTGCTTCTTTTGTTGGCCTGCAGATGCAGAACCCGGAGGCTCTGTCAGTCATGACCAATCCCAGGGCCATGCAGGCTCTCATGCAGATCCAGCAGGGTCTGCAGACGCTGCAGACAGAAGCCCCCGGCCTCATGCCCAGGTACACACACACACACACACACACACACAGACACACACACACACAGTAGGGTTGTCACGATACTAAAATTTTCAACTCGATACCGATACTCAGGAAAATACTCGATACCATTTTCGACACCACAAAGATAAAAACAAAGACCCCAAAATTTAACTGAATTTTGACAGGTTAGCGTCTTTCATTTCAAACTGACCTGTTACTGATTTTATCGTGACTGATGGCCCACATTAATGACCCTAACCCTAACCCTCCATCCTTCATAATTGTGACAAATAAATATTTTTTGGTTAAACTTGTTTGGACTTATTGTACAAACCTATTTAACATCCACTATTTTAACATAATATGTATAGATTTTAATTAAGTGTTTGAAAGATTAATTTCACAATTTTTACATAATGTCTATATTGCCATGAGGCAATTACGATTTTCTTGCATGGGATCTTGCCATTGGTGACCTAATCAAAATGGCCGACTTGGATGTGGGCAGAGTTGGATATGTACTTGATCGATACTTTTTTGAGTATCGATACTTTTGACAACCCTAACACACACACACACACACACGTTGCATTTTTAGAGGAGAGTTTGTTTAAAAGTTTTTTTTTTTTTTTCCTTCCTCCGGCTCAGTTTGATGACAGGTGGAATTCCCGGCATTCCCACCGGAGGGGGCATGTCCACGGAGAACCCGGCCTCCTCGCCCAGCAGCGCCGGAAGCACCGCCACCCAGCAGCAGCTGATGCAACAGATGCTCCAGATGTTCGCCGGAGGAGGAGGAGGAGGAGGAGGAGGAGGAACCGCCACGGTACGCACAACAACCCCTAAAACGCCTTATGTAGAGGTCTTGTCTCCTTCCCGTTCAAACCCCCGTGGCTTCTCCCTGCAGACCCAGACCCCGGAGGTCCGGTTCCAGTCCCAGCTGGACCAGCTTAACGCCATGGGCTTCATCAACCGCGAGGCCAACCTGCAGGCCCTAATCGCCACCGGAGGAGACATCAACGCCGCTATCGAGAGACTGCTGGGCTCACAGCCCTCGTAAAGACACGCAGTACATGTTTGACACACAGACACGCTCATAAATACATAAGTAATTCATAAACACACCCACCATCGACAGAACACCAAGAGAAATTTAAGTGTATTGTTCCAAACTTTGCAGAAGACACTTGGGCAAGAACTGCAAGACCCTTACTCTTCATCTCCTCTCAGATCATTCCCCTCGTCCCCCTTTATTTCTTTCTTTTTTTTTTTTTTTCGGCACCATCCTACCAGGTCGTTCTCAGAATTCTGCTGTTAAGTCGGACTGAACCACTCTCACCCCGAAGGGCTCTCTGGTGTAGAGAGAGCGAGCGAAAAACCCTGCCTGGGAGAGGAATTGCCAACTGTTTTCTTCTTTCATTATTTCCTTCACATAAGTTTGGAGTAGACTGTTGTAGGCAGACATTTACACGACACAGATTGAGCCTGAGTGGTGGGGTTGGCAGTTAGCTCTGTTTTATATGTGGCTACTGTGAGACGGTGTGGTAGTTTCCTGAAACACAGGCAGTCCGCACAGATGTTCAGCCATGTTCCTCCCTCTTTCCAAGTTCTCCAGTCTTCATACACCGCTGTTTCTGCTGAACAGCCTCCACTATTTATTGCAAGCGGCTAATAATATGACACCCTGCATACTTCCCCCCCGAAGTTGTAATCTGTCATTCCACTTCAAAGTGCCCACCCACGAGTGCACGGTGTCTTTTTCCTCCTGAGGCACAGATGCTGGTACTGCTGCCCTGCTCTGCCCAACGAGAGCAAACTGGCAGCAAACCGCAGCCCCACTCAGTGGGTTAATTAGACCCCCCCCCACTCCCCACCCCCCCCAAACGTCTCACATCTTCATACAGGATTTAAACCATAACTGAGTTTCACATTGCAGCAACCCCGAAGCAGAGGTTGCTGCTAGTATGAGTATGAATGATACAAAACAAGCTTTCCTTTCATTTTAATCAGATTATTTGTTGTTGTTTTTTTCCTTTTTTTTTTTCTTTTGAGGTGCATTTAGTACCTAGAGGTGATGATTTGTTTCACATTAATGTGGAAATCAAATGAGATAAATAAAATATTGACGAAAAGAAAGGCTTTAAAAACAATTCTGGTATGGCGACATCATACATTTCTTAAATCATAAGTCTAGATTGTTTTATTATTATTATTATTATTATTTTCCTTTTTGAAATTCTCAGCATTGTAGTTGTGGTAACCTTGGCAACTGCTTCAATAGCTTTGCTTTGTCTGTTGACCTCAGCTGAAGAAAAAAAAGATCCATCTCCCAGTTGAAAATGTTGGAACTAACTTTTAACAGTACTGTACTAAAAAAAAGTAATAAATCATGGTTAAAAATAGACCAAGTGGCGTCACTTGCTAACTATCTGGTGAAGGATGAAGGCCAAATGATGCACTGTGTTTCAAGGTTCTGCTTCTGTTTGTATAAAAAAAAATCAACAACCCATTGGTGTGTTTTTGGGAAATGTTCATAACTGAATTTTTTCTTTTGGCATGTACCTTTCTCATATACTTCCTGAAAATAATGAAAAATGATAGATGGTTGGCGACATGTATTCCGCAACAGCTCAAACATAAACCTACACGTCTGGAATTAGTCAGTGATGTTTATTTTGGTTAGAAGGACTCATCAGATGAGTCAGCTAAAATTCAAACTCTTGCCTGTGCATGTTGACCCCAAAATACGCAGAAAAAAATGGATAAGAAGCGCTCACTGGGCCAGGAGTCATGGCACACGCTGGTATTTCCAGCCAAGCGGTTCTATCGTTGACTAAAATAAAAGATAACGTTAGAAACCTCGGCCGGTGCCGAGCCGTCTTCCCCAGTTTCAGGCGGAGTCAGGCCACAGATTTACCTGTTGGGTGAGGTCTGAGTGGTGAAGGGTGGAGCCTGCTGCACCTGTGAGTGGTTCTACCTGCTCGACCTGCTCTCCCTCCTCTGGGTGTCAGCCGGTGAGTGATCAGGACTCCGGCTACTTCCCTGTTTGCCTTCACCAGGAGCTGCGCCCGTCCTCGGATTAAAGCAGCTCTCTTCCCTTTTTTTCCTGCCTTTCCTTCTTCGTCGGCCGGAGGAATGAGGGTGTAGTTGTTTTCCTCTCTGTTGTAAAAGCTTTAAAAGTGGCTTTAAAGATTCTCACTGCGTGGAAAAGAGACCCAGCGCCCCTGAACGCAGCATGGGGAATGACGATTCCTACAACTTTGTCTTTAAAGGTGAGTGGTTCTTATCACCTGGGACTGAAGGAAAGAGATAAAGCCGGGGGCTGTCAGTTATTGTGCGTTTGTAGCCATAAAACTGTGGAAGTGGAACCTATTTCAATGGAGAAAAGGGAGCGAGGAAAAAGGAGGAAGAGGGTGCTTCCCGACCAGTATTTGACCTTTGACCTGTAAAGAGACGGTTCACTTCTGAGGCTTCGCTCAGAGCGTGTGTGATGTCTGTGTTTTTGTTTTGTATTAAACCACTTTCCGTTCCAATGGTTCCAACCTAAAGGCAGCATCAGGGCCCACGGTGACAGGAAGTCTGGGTTGAGATCAAAGATACTGTCTGTCTCAGCTTCAGCCATCTTGCACCTGTAGATTATTTGTTTTAAAAGACGACGAGCCCTCCGTTAAAGTCGGTAACAGGGGAAGTTTGCGTCTGCTCAGTGGTTCTGATCGGGGAGTCCGGCGTGGGGAAGAGCAACCTTCTCTCCCGCTTCACCAAGAACGAGTTCAACCACGACAGCCGCACCACCATCGGCGTGGAGTTCAGCACCAGGACGGTGCAGCTGGACACCTACACCATCAAAGCCCAGATCTGGGACACGGCCGGGCTGGAGCGCTACCGGGCCATCACCTCAGCGTGGGTACACACACTCACACACACTCAGACACACACACACACACTCAGACACACACAGCTGCTCCCTGCTCTCAGTCCAGGCTCTTTTTTTTTATTTTACCTTGTCCTGTTCAGCATTATGGCAGCAGTACTGTGCTATAATGAACAAAATTGCTTTGCCAAAGGAAGGCTTTGTTAGTAAGAAGCCCTCCTTGATAACCCAAAACTGCATTATTTATTAATTTTTTTGTTACCAAAGTTACACGTGTCCAATAATGCCAAACCTGACAGAGGGACAGGGAAGAGAGAAGAGCAGTGGAAAGGAGAGAGATCCTTTAGACAGAAAGAGAAAGGGGGAAAAAAAAGAAAGACAACAAGACCATACCATGAAAAGGACACTGATCTTTGTGGGGAATCCGGGTGGAGAACCTGTAGGAGCTCTTATGAAAAGGAGACAGGGAAGACAAAAGAACAAACAAGCAACAAAATGGTAGCAGGAACATGAGTGAGCTTCTCAGAATGATGCAGATTCTTAAGGAGTCCAGGCTTATTTTGATAACTGCACTCAGTTTGAAAACCAGATCCGACCCGTTTGCTTGGCTTGTGTTGTGTGTCTGTGTGTGTGTTGTGTCTGTGTGTGTGTTTGGGGGTTCAGGTACTACCGGGGGGCCGTGGGAGCCCTGCTGGTGTATGACATCACCAAGCACCTGACCTACGAGAGCGCGGAGCGGTGGCTGAAGGAGCTGTACGACCACGCCGACCCCCACATCGTGGTCATGCTGGTGGGGAACAAATCGGACCTGGACGGCGTCCGCACGGTGCCCACCGAGGAGGCCCGGGACTTCGCAGGTCAGTGACCTTTTTTTTGTTTTTTTTACTGTCAAACGCTCGGCACAAAGGTCCCGTAGAGGGAGGAGAGAGCCTGACACCCTTAATAAAGCGGAGTCTTTGTAAAGTGAAAAAAACAAGGTTTATTGGTCTTCCAAAAGACAAAAAGGGGTTGACAGCTGTGGGGGAGAAAGGGGCCGTTAGGTTGTGCCAAATCAAAGAAATCTGCAAAACAGGGCCTAACTAACAGTACCTTTAAAAGAAAGAAAAAGAAAAGAACAACTTGCTACTCTGAGCTAATAAAGATTCATAATTGTTTATTGTTTATTTATTTATTTGGATCCCCATTAGCTGTCAGTAATTTGACAGCTACTCTTCCTGGGGTCCTTTTAAAATGATACAGATACACAAAACATATCAAATGATCACATCATAAGAACAACTATACATTTAAAATCATTTCACCTTACATTAAGATCTGTTACACAAAAATTAATAAATTAAGGCATAATAATACAAGGGTGGCACCATCTTACTTACTCAGGGTATCTAAGAGAAATTTACTTTAGTCATGAAGGTGTACAGGGTACCCCGACTTACATAGCCCACAATATCCAACCACAAACCCCCAAACAAGCTAGCCCAATGATAAAACAGACTCCCAAAAAATGAAGGTCCTGCCAGGTACAGTGGGGGAAATAAGTATTTGGCCCCTTGCTGATTTTGCAGGATTGCCCACTTACAAAGAATGCTTATTTTTCCTCATCAGATGGTTATCAATTTTTATAAATTCATATGATGTTATTTTCTGGAATTTTCTTTGGGATTCTGTCTTTCACTGTTAGAATGTACATATGATTAAAGTTAAAGATCGTTGCATTCTTTGTAAGTGGGCAAACCTGCAAAATCAGCAAGGGGTCAAATACTTATTTCCCCCACTGTATATGCCCCCCCGGGCCTACAGGTGAGCTGCTTTTATGCTGCTTGGCCACCTCCTGCCCACTCAGGGTAAAGTTCTCTACCTGGGCAGGAAACAAAAGGGAAAAAGGGGGGAGAAAAAAACAAAACCAGTCCGCCTGGACGTGTAACACGTGTATTTTTTTGTCGATTCCGATCTTTGTCTCCAGATAAAAAAGGGCTGATGTTCATGGAGACGTCGGCTTTGGACTCTACAAACGTGGAGGCCGCTTTCAACGAGGTTCTCACAGGTAGGACACCCCCCCCCTCCACCCCCCCCCCCGGGTGTTTGCTGATGGGATCAGTGGGTTTGTCCACCACGCTTAAGACCATCCAGACTGTTTGCATGTCTTGTTCCAAGATGGTGGAAAGACCTACCAAACGCCAAAAAAGAACAGCAGAGTCCTGTCTATTTTCAGGAACTCTTGAAGACCCCCCTCTTCAAAGAGCATCTCCTATCCTAACCCTAACCCGTACCTCTACCCCCCCACAGCTCCTTCTGTAGTCCCTCTACCTCTATCTCTATCTCACCACTGACTCTGATCAGTGTTTCTCCTCTATATTGCTTATTGTCATAGTGATGATAAATGTAATATTGTGTCTACTCTGTAAGTCGCTTTGGATAAAAGCGTCTGCCAAATGCATAAACATAAACGCACATAAACATTGTCCCCGTCCCCCTGCAGCCATCCACAGGAAGGTGGCCAGTCGGGAGGTGACCCGGGGCTCCATCAGCGCCGTGACCCTGTCCAGCCCCATCGGCCCCCCCGGCGAGGCCGAGAGGGGGGAAAAAGGCTGCTGCAGCCGCTCCTAACCGACCAATCGCTGCTCCCGGGAGAGATCCTCCTCCATTTTATCCCTTTTTCTGTCCACGTCACGCTGGACCCACGTCCGGTCATTCAGCCCGAAGACTGAGTCCGAGCAGCAAACGCTCGAACCGTTTTTAAAATGTCAAAGCTGTACATTTTACAATTTGTTGTTTTCGAGTTGCTAACATTAGATACATCCTCGTTTTGTACATTCTACTTCTTAAGGCTGTTCAGAGGTGTTTCTTCATCCTTTTATGGGGGTTTTTTCAAAGCTTTATTAGATTAATTTATCAGTGGGGAACTTCAGCCGCTCACAGTACAGAACAAAACAGTACTTAAAAAGTCAAACCAATGCAAATGGATATACAAAAATGGAATTAAATGAATTGTTTCATAAAATGGGTGCTTATTCACTTTGAATAAATTATTTGAATGATTCTGTCTGGATCCAGTTACTTCCTAATTTCACATTAAAAACGTTTGCCATTCACACTAACAGTCCAAAGTGTCCGAGGACTTTAGTTTTTTCTGTTTTTATCTAAACTGAACCGCTTTGTGTCCAGTGAAGTTGACTAACCTCTAGCTTTCCTGCAGCAATAATAAAAGTGAAGGAGTTTTTATATACATGTACAGTATATATATTTCTTTCTTCCATTTACAGTTGAGGGTTTCTTTTAGATTGAAAAAATGTCAACAAATGTGTGGACTATGCATTTCTTCTGGTATTTTGAGCCCAGCATATCATTATGTTCTAAACACTGAGACAAGAATAAACCATTAAGTCCTCTGACCAGGTGTGAATGTTTAACTAGACTACCTCCCCCGGTACAATACACTGTTTGAATGCAACACTATACACACTAGAAATAAATGGAATGAACTTAGTCATGTTAAGTTTGACTTAATTTATACATTTGACTTCAGCTACTTAAACGTACATTAAGACAGGAAACACTTTCCAATAGCTTTCGTTATTAAAGTAAAATAAGGTAGAAATTCATTGTATTTATTCGTAAGTAGATACATTTGCGTTCAGGTTGTTTTGTTTTCAGCTTTCTGCCCATAATGGTTATGTGTGGGTTGACTTGTGCTGGGTTTCTGGGGTCTGACCACAGGCTACTCTGGTGTTTGGGCTTTAGCAGAAGCTGCTGTGTTTCCTCTCCACCACCAGAGGGCAGCACTGATGCTCTCACCTCTGTTTGGCGCCTAATGATGCCAGCTCAAAATCCATTTGCTCTTAATCTAATTTCCCTATTAACTCCAGCGTGTCTCCTGGCAGCATCTGGACCCCCGCTGGTCATTTCATTACTGGTCATGATGCTGGGCTCGTGTGGGGGGTTTGTCATCATCCAGGCACCTCTTGAAAAGTGAGCACATGAACCAGGGAATTAACATAGATTTTTCCACACAAATAGAACATTAGTTTAGTTTAGTTTTATTAGGATCATTTAGTCTTTTATTAGTACTGTCAACAAACACCTGCACAAAACATTTAAAGTTCTGCTGCTGCTGTAACATCTCTTTATAGAAGTCTCTCTGGGTTACCAGTATCATGGTCACAGGTGGTTCTTCCTCTATAGAAGATGCCTTTGATTGTTTAGGAGGCATGTTGTTTCTTACCCTATATTGGGAAAGTCAGGAGAAAGCTGGTGGATACTCGGGCCTACTTGGGTCCTGTCTTCAAGCAGTCCACAAAAAAGACGTTGTTCCAGCAGTTTTTTAACAAAATTTGTTTAGCAGGTTGCTTCCAAATCCACTTAGTTCAATAGTAGCTAGCAAGAGAAGGCAAGGCATTTTTATTTATATAGCGCAATTCATACCAAGCGGCAACTCAATGTGCTTTACATAGGCAAGACATTTTAAATAAAAAAACAGCATAAAACAGCATAAAAAAAACAAACAAACAAACAAAAAACTTTTTTTTTTAAAAGGTTGGAACACAGTTAAAAGCAGGAACAAAGGTTGTTTGTTATGTTGTTATGTTTGTTACAGCTCCAGTGCTTTTGCAAAACCAAAATTAGAATGTTAAAAGAACATATTAAAATATATATATATATATTTTATTTTTATTTTTATTTATATGAATGATTCTGTCTGGATCCAGTTACTTCCTAATTTCACATTAGAAACTTTTGCTACCCACGCTAACAGTCCAAAGTGTTTTTTCTGTTTTGATTTAAACTGAACCGCTTCGTGTCCAGTGAAGTTGACTAACTTCTAGCTCTCCTGCAGCAATAGTAAAAGTTAAGGAGTTTTTTATATTCCTCTTCTTTCCATTTACGTCTGACGTTTTCTTTTATATAGAAAAAATGTCGCCAAATGTGTAGACTATGCATTTCTTCTGGTGTTTTGAGCCCAGCATATCATTATGTTACAAATACTGAGATTATAGCAAACCATTAAGTCCTCTGACTTAAACCAGGAATTAGCAGACTGAGCCCTTGTGTCGAGTATGCTACATCAATGTGAAATAATTAATTAGCAGACTCAGCCCTGGTGTGTGTGTGTGTGTGTGGATCTCCATAGGACAGGCTGAGAGGATCTAAATACGTGGAGCAGAGCGAGTTAACGACATTCTGGACAGATAGCGCTCTATCTCTGGCGAGCAGATGTGCACGAGGAGCCTTTGCTGTGGTTTCAGACTCCCCCCCCCCCCCAGCGAGATTTCTCTGCCCGAGCTGATTTTTGAAACGACCGCAAATGCTTTTATTAAGTCTTCCTTATGAAAATATGACGGGGCGGCTCTGCAAGCAGGCAGTAAATGTTTAATTATATCCTGCGAATAAAGATATTTTTACGGGCCGGGTAGGGACATCTGGAGTAATAATCCGTGTAGACAGGTTGAAATCCCGGTCAGGAAATCTTTAAATCTGGCCTCCGTCCTCCTGGGCCTGCAGTTAGAGGATGTGTTTGAAAAAAAAAGAGGAGGAAATTAAAAGAAATTACAAGCTTTCCGTTCTTTGTTTCAGTAAAAGTAATGAAGCAACCGTTTCTCACCACTTCACAAACCGCCGGTATCTCTCTGACCTCCCCCTAAAGGCATCGGGGGGGGGGGCTTTCTGTGGTTGGAAAGACTTGGATTTAACACATACATGTGAGGCCTATTACCGCCATGCTACTAGACATGTGTAGCTTGTAAAAAAAAGTGCGTCTAAAACCAGGCCTCAGATGTTGGCGTGCGGGCACCTCTGACCCCGGCGTGGGTCAGTTTATCTCCCGTTTAGGATCCCTCCACCCCTGCCTCTCTGCTTCTGTGGGGAGGCTCCAATCCTCCCGAAGAATTTACGGCCTCTGCAGCAACAGCTGTGCGGGATTTATTGTGATCTTTGTATTTTCCGTGACCTTTGACCCCGCGGAAAAAGGGATTTTGTCTCAAAGCGGTACTTACGGCGTCCATCGTTTATACGGCTTTTTGTGTCTTTAGGCTCTCCCCGTGGTCTAAAGAAGGTTTACAAAGCTAGTTTTCTGTTGTTTATTTCCGGTTTCCTGTGTTGTGTACACATGGGATCAAAAGAGATGCGCCGTTTAAAAAGATTTAAAAAAATAAAAATCAATGCACCTCTTACCGTTTAACCGTCTGTTTCTTGGTTTCTCAAGAAAAGGTCACAATTTTCCACTCGTTCGTTTAACTGAGGATAAAGGATCACATTTATCTTTTTTAAAAATCCTTCCAGATATTTGAGAAGATATAACTTAACTAAAATGCCAAATCTGGGAGTGTGTGTCTCGTGGACAATCAAAGTTTCCATGAGTGAATGGGACGACTGGACGACTGGACATTAACGTCCTCCTGATGGTGGGACGGACACCTTTGATTCCGGTAGGCTTAAACGAACAGCTTTTAAATGGTTCCACAGCCCATATTTTTCCAATTTCCTCCTTTTCTTTATAGCAGTGGATTAGCGTGGCGTATTTACAACACTGCTCAGTCCGGCAAAAACTTAAGATAAATCTAAAAAAGTTCAAACCGGGGTGTCCTGACTTGGTCCAAACAAACCCGCCGACCCCACTAAAGGACTTCACCACCAACAGATGACCTGCTTACTCCTTTGGTTTTGCATGATAACCTCAGATATTAAACAGTTTCAGCACAGAATATCCACACATTCTATTTAATCTTCTAAATCTGCCTCGATCAAAACCTAACGAGTCACTTTTTTACCAGGATTATGACCAAAAAGAGTCCAGATGGGCAGAGAGGAGTTCGGCAATATGTGGTTCCAAACAAGAACAAATCTGATAATAGAATTAACTCCAATGTTGGGTGAAGCTGTGGAGTATTTGGCGTTGAGTAGAAACGATCTGTACTAATTACCAAACCCCCCCACACCTGGACGGCCTGTGTCAGTGGGACTGAGTCAGTTGTGTGTTGGTCTTAAATAAAAAAACTCTGCTTAATATAAACATTCTCATCTTGTTAACGTGTTCTTGTGGTGTTTTTTTATGTGTTATTATGTTAGGAACTGGGACATCTCCCTCCGCCACTCATTATTCTGACCTAAAAACAGCTGGATTTCCCCCGTTAGCCTGATGAAAACTAGTATGAGTATGTTTTCGTTCTCCTATTTTCATTTGAATTTCACGCCACAAGGGGAAAAGCCACGAGCATCATCACCGGCAGCCAGGCAGCAAATGGGCTGCAAATGAGCTGCAAACAAGCAGCAAACAAGCAGCAAACAAGCAGCAAAAAGGCTGCAAACCGGCTGAAATGAGGCTGTAATCAGGCTGCAAACAGGCTGCAAACAAGCAACAAATAGGCTGCAAACAGGCTTCATAAAGGCTGAAAACGGGCAGCAAACTGGGTGCAAATGAGCTGCAAACAGGCCACAAACAAGCAGCAAACAGAGAGTAAACGAGCTGCAGACAGGCAGCACAACAGCTGCAAACAAGCTTCAATCAGGCTGCAAATGGGCAACAAACCGGCTGCAAACAGGCAGCAAATAGGCTGCAAACAAGCTGCAAACCGGCTGCAAACAGGCCTCAAAAAGGCAGAAAACGGGCACCAAACTGGTTGCAAACAAGCTGCAAACAGGCTGTAATCCGGCTTCCAACAGGCTGCAAACAAGCTGCAAACAGGCCGCAGACAGAGACTAAACGAGCTGCAAACAGGCAGCACAACAGCTGCAAACAAGCTTCAAACAGGCTGCAAAAAGGCTACAAACTGCCTGAAATGAGGCTGTAATCAGGCTGCAAACAAGCTGCAAACCGGCTACAAACAGGCTGCAAACGGGCTGCAAACTGTCTGCAAACAAGCCGCAAACAGGCCACAAACAGAGAGTAAACGAGCTGCAAACAGGCAGCACAACAGCTCCAAACAAGCTTCAAACAGGCTCCAAAAACACTACAAACTGCCTGAAATGAGGCCGTAATCAGGCTGCAAACAAACTGGAAACAGACAGAAAACTGGCAGCAAACAGACAGAAAACAGTTTTCTTAACACCGTGTGGCTCAAAAACGATCGGGGGAAAAGGCTTTTCCGGGGAGAAGGCGACTCCACGCGCTCCCAGATTCCTCATCCAGCTCTGGAGCAACAACAACTGTCTCTCTCTCTCTTTCCCTGGACGGAAGTCAAGACGAACTTAATAAAAAATGCTCTCTTGTGCAAACTCCATCTTTTGGCCCTCGTGACTGGAGTTAGCTTCCTTTGACTCTTCTTCATGGCTGTTGCTTTTAGTAACTTGAGTGGAGAAAAAGAAGTTTTGAGGGAGGGATGACAGGCGGACATGTGGCTGGAACTCATTAGCATAGTTTTTAGGGGATCAGGAACAACTGGAGCGGGTTTTGACATATTCCCCCATGACAGCTGTGCTCAAGGGTCAAGTCAGAAAAAGTAGATCCAGGTCACACCGTATGAAGGTGTGATTGCCCCTTCTCCTTCACCCCACGCGTCAGCAGAAGAGCCCAGATTTCCCATTTCCACGTCACCGAAAATAGAATCAAAGTCAGCGCACGCCGATTACCATGGAGACGTTGTTATGGCGACCAGTCAAAGAAGAGGTGAGCTGATGGGCGGCTGTGAGCTCAGACTCTCTCTCCTCTCATCTCCAAAAAAATGCACCGGAGAAACGGGAAGGGAGAAGAAGCCGTGGGGATCATGTGGAGTGTGTTCATGACTCCTGGCAGGAAGCCTGGAGCTGTTCAGCTTTCTGAGACATTAAGAGGGCGGGAAATCAGTGTTTGTTTGCAGTTTTTTTTAACCTGTTCTCCCTCGGGTTCGCCCACGATAACTACAGGACATCTTTCTACAGATACAGCAGCTGAATGGATGTTTTTGTTGTCTTTTTCTTATTTTTTTTAGGGTTATCTCTTCTTTTCGGAACAGGTTATTGTTACCTTTTCTGTAGTCTCTCATCCTTTTTTTAATTTCATCTTTGGTTTTTTCTCTTTTCCTGTCCCCCGGTCAGGTTTGGCCTTAAGCATCTTACCTCCGTAACAAAAATAAATCTTAAATAAATAATAAAGCAGTTTTGGATGATCAGGGGAGGGTTCTCACCCTGACAGGCTTCCCCGGGCAAAGCAAAAGAGTCGGGCAGAGCACGAAACTCAGATTAATTTTGTTCCCATAATGCT